TATGGTCACCCTGACCATTCAACAGTGGAGCCAATGGGTCTACTCTAGCCAGGAGTAACAAACAGCATCCTAGCCTTGGTCTGCTGTTCTTCACAACTTTACTACCTTTTTTTAAAAAAGGCTTCTGCTGGGCTGAGGAGGGCCCAAGATATGGCATAAAACACCCTGCACCTCATGAAGGGAATAAGGGATGATGGGCTTTGGGGGGGTTCCAAAGTGGCCTCAAAGGCCCCACAGCCCCTGGCCCCCACTTTCAATTACCCATGACCTAGGCTGCATCTACATTGCAGAATTAATGCAGTTTGACACCGCTTTAACTGTCATGACGCCATCCTATGGAATCCTGGGATTTGTAGTTAATGGGGCACCAGAGCTCTCTGACAGAAAAGGCAAAATAACTTGCAAAACTACAAATGCCAGAATTCCGTAGTATTGAATCATGGCAGTTAAAGCAGTGCCAAACTACATTACTTCTGCAGTGCAGATGCAATCGTAAATGCAATTCAACAGATTACCATATTAAAAGCAGCCTTCAAATTGTAATGGTTTAAAAACCCATCTCAAAACATATGGACAAGGCAAATATAGATCTATTAAAATCCCCTTTCTCAGCATTCAGGCCATCTCCAGATAGATTTTAAAAAAACAAACAACTGGAATTCCCATGTTTTGTACCTGTACTTTCCAATTTTATGGACCTTATCACACGGGGTCTAAAGCAGACCTAATCCAAAGGATATCCATAGCTAATCCGTATTAGTTCCTCGTGTTTACACACGACGTTGCACCAAAACTCGACAGAACCCGAAGCTAATCCGTATTAGTTCCCCGTGTTTACACACGACGTTGCACCAAAACTCGACAGAACCCGGAGCTAATCCGTAATGAATTGAGATCTTTTGACATTCGGTTTTTCGGGGAAGTACAAGCGAGCTTTCGGAATTATTGCGCAATGGCCGCGCAGGCGAAATACATATGATCACGCAATACGTATTGTGAAGCATTTCAGTTCATTTCGGTATAGAACTGAATTTATTCTTATTTTGGTTACTTTTCGCTTCATGGCCAGCGTGTGATAAGGTCCTATTTCTGTGATCCACATGATGTTTTCTTCATCTCAATTTTTTTCCCTGGAAGATCCTGGCTTTACCAAGGATTTTCGATTTTCACTCTCCAATCTGGTTTAACTTAACCCTATACTTTCCAAAATACATGTATCTGTACTTCTTATCTTGTGTGTTTCTGCAATTTTGGAACTAGCTAAGTAAGCACAGTTGTTGTTCAACAGAAATCAAGCGAGGGAATGAGCAAGGCTAGCACTGAAAGAAAGTGATCCTAATTCTTAACCAGTGTAATATTGCTTAAACACTTTACTGTAACTCCTGAATAATATATTTTTTAAAAAAATGCAGCAGAAATTGGAGAAACAGTTTCTGAAATGTTGCATGAGATTGAATGTGAAATGTGATCAATGGAAGGGCAGAGTGAAAGAACACAAGGAATGATGGTGGATGATCATATGATTGCTAGAGGGGTTTTTGGAATGTAGTGTGTGCAGACTTGGGAATGAAATTGTGATTAACTAGCTAACATCATCAACCTCATCATCATCATCATCATCATCATCATCATCATCTCTTATCCACCTTTCCCAAATCTTGAGGCAGGGTACAACATAGATTTAAAAAACAAAATTATTAAGTTCAAACACATTAGCCTAAAACAATTAAAATCATCCAACGTATATGTGCGGGTAGTGTGCCAAGAAGCCATTGTCTCTGTTCAATCCATTGTTGATGGACTTGAGTTTGTGGATATATTCTAAAGCAACTTTCCATTCTTCCTTTGTAGTGTTGTTGTTGTTGTTGTTGTTGTTGTTGTTGTTGTTGTTGAAGGACTGCTGTCCTGAGGTCAGAGATGGAATACCCAGGAAGACGGAAGTGTTCTCCAGCAGGTTTTTGTGTATTCCCCTTCCTAATATCTGATTTATGTCCATTTATCCTCTGACGCAGAGACTGACCTGTTTGCTCAATGTAGAGTGCTAAAGGGAATTGTTGACAGAGAATGGCATATACAGTCACCTTTCCATTTCCGCAGGGGATCCGTTCTAGACCCCCCCCCCCCATGAAAATGGAAAATCACAAATATTTAAGCCCCATAGGCTTGAATGGCAGTGCCTGTGGGTGCGCGCCATGGGCGCACAGCCCATTTTGTCCCCCTCCATTTGCTACCCATGGATGGGCGACGGGTGCTTACTTCAAGTCTGCAAAAACAGAGGGGCAGCTGTATTACATTAGAGGATGGGCAAGTGAAAATCCCTCTAATATTGTGGGTTATGTGCATAGGTGTGTGATGACATTTCCTGAGTAGATGTGTGGGCAGAGTTGGTACCTGAGTTTGTGGCAAGGTCTTGTACCCATCTCCCCATCTGCGTTGTGTGTCCTCCTGTAAGTAAGTAACTGTTTGAGACTGGGAGCTGTTTGTAGGAACTGTGGACTTAGTAGACCACAGGTTGAACATGAGTCAACAGTGTGATGCAGTGACCATAAAAACCAATACAATTCTGGGCTATATCAACAGAAGCACAGTGTCCAGAGTGAGAAAAATAGAAGCGGCACTCTAGTCTGCTTTTTGTCTACTCTGCTTTTGGAATATTGTGTTCAGTTCTGGGAACCAGAGTTCAAGAAGGATAATGGCAAGCTGGAACATGTCCAGAGAAGCATGACCAAGAGATCATAGGTCTTGAAACAAGCCTTATGAGGAAGGACTTCAGGATCTGGCTATGCTCTGCCTAGAGAAGAGAAGACTGACAGGTGACATGATAGCCATCTTTAAATATTGGCTGGGACGTCCTGTAGAAGATGGAATGAGCTTGTTTTCTGCTGTTCCAGAGACTAGAACATAAACTATGGATTCCAAATACAAGGAAAGAAAATCCACCTACACATTATAGAAATAATTTCTTTACTCTTAAGAGCTACTTGATAGTGGAATGGACTGCCTCAGAATGTGGTAGGTCCAAAACACCCTGCAGAAATAATCCAATTTGAGACCGCTTTAACTGCCTTGGCTGAATGCTAGGGAATTCTGGGAACTGTCTCTTTGTGAACATTTAGCCTTCTCTGTCTGAAAGCTCTAGTACCACAATAAACTACAATTCCCAGGATTCCCTAGCACTGAGCCAGGGCAATTAAAGTGACCTCAAACTGGATTATTTCGGCAGTGTGTTTTGGACCTTAACTCTATTTGGACGTGTATAAACAGAGGCTGGGTGGCTATCTGTATTCCTGCATGGCAGGGGTTGAACTAGAACACTAGATGGCCCTTGGGGTCCTTTCCAACTCTAAGATTTTATGATTCCAAAAAAGAATTCTGCCCCAAATCCAGTTTTCCTTAAAGTTTTCACCATTTCAGCAACATAAAATTTCAGTTGAGAACTGAAGGGAATGGAAAGCCAGCAAATGTAAGAGACCTAGGCGTGAACAGTCTCTTTGCAATGCTAGAAATATGTGAACTGAAGGAAAATTTCATTGGGGAACAGAATTCTTATTTGGATACGCTCATCCCCCTCCCAATAGTTGGGTAGAAAACTACATAAATTCTTCACTTTGAATCCCAGGATGATATAGGCAAAGATTTTTAAATCCTTAAACAAAACTGTTGACACATCTGTATCACACGATCCTAAAAACACACACTGAGCAAGAAGATTAGATTTGCCCAACTTCAGAGGGGTTTTCTTCTCTACCCGAAAAATGCTGAAGAAAAGAGAGAAAGCGTGCTCATGACCTTTCCAGCTCCACACAGAGATCAGATCTGGAGATAACTCTGAGAAGTTGTCTCTAATCTACACAATGGTTTGTGTGTGTTTTTACATAGTGCTGATGTGTGTGTGTGAGAGAGAGAGAAATAAAAGGCATTTCTATTTCCGCTGAGACACTCCTGATAAGAAACTAGGAGGGGGATAGTGGGGGGGGGGGCAGTTGGATAAGAATCTGTGGTTATTTGCCTGCAATGCAATTGGAACTCAGCCAAACATACTTTGAAAAGTTCAGTCCCCCAACCTCTCCCTTGAGGCCCTTGCACACTACACAATTATAGCACAATGGGGATTCCACTTTAACAACCATGGCTATATCCTATGGCTCCTGAGCTTTGCAGTTTAGGGACGCAGTAGACCTCTCCAGCTGAGAGTTCTAAATTGTTGCTTGTGTGTGTGTCTTCAAGTCATTTCTAACTCATGGCGACCCTACGACAAATATATCATGAGGTTTCCTTTGCTTGAGTTGTTCAGAGGGGGTTTAACCTTTGGCTTTCTCTAAGGCTGAGAGAATGTGACTTACCCAAGCTCACCCAGTGGCAGTGATGTAGACTCAAGTTGATTGATGCAGACTCAAGTCACTGCAGTGACTTGACTTGGACTCAACTCAGCAATAAATAATGCACTGACTCGACTTGACTCACGACTTGTGTCTTTTTAGTGACCAACTTGCAAGCCTAACTTCACCCAGAAACATCCAGGGGTAGGCAATGGGCTCAAGGCAGGGATTGAGGTCTAGTAAGCAGCCTGTCCCTGCTGAGCCTTCTAAAGCTTTTTGCCTCAAGCCTGCTGCCAAAAGCATTTGCTGTTCCCCTGAGAAACTCATCCTGTGTTATGGAGGCAAGTCTTGCCTGCCACTCCTAGGAAAAGCTTAAGAAGGCTCCCCTGATGTCCAGCAGGGACAGGCTGCTGAATAGACCCCATTTTTCTAAAATGCAATCTTGATAAATTGCCCAGGATAATTTAATTTATTTCTTGATTTTCTAGTTATTGAAACTCCACCTCCCCACCTCTACTCACATCCCACCACAACCCTTTTTTCCTATTAAATTTGGCTCCAGACTTTAGACTCAACTTGAAAGTATCTTGCAGTGACATAAGACTCGCCTTGAGACTTGAAAGTAGAGACATGAGACTTGGAGTAAAAAGCTTGGATACATCATTGTCCAGTGGGTTTCCATGGGTGAACAGGGATTTGAACCCTGGTCTCCAAATTCCTAGTCTAGTGCTCAAACTGCTACTCCACTCTGCCTCCCAGAGGCCTAAATACCTCCTTAACCTGCTAATCCCAGCTTTCCTTAGGATGCTGACATGGCAGTTCCAGTGGAACCATAGCGCCATAATTGTGTCATGTGAAAGCAAGGGCAGATAGAGCTGTTTCAAATTTTGTCAGTTATTTAGTTCCAGTGATATCCCATCTTTTCCCCCAATGAGCTTAAGGTAATGTTTGTGATCTCCTTCTACACCACTTCATCCTCACAACAACCCCATGAGGTAGGTCCTTCTGGGAGAGAGGGAATGGACCAATGTTGCCCAATGGGGACTTGAAGATTATGGAATGGCCTGCTGGATGAGATCCGTCTTATCTCCACTCTTGACTGCTTTAAAAA